GCCACTGCAGAACTCAGAGCGGGGCAGAGGAGAACCGGGCTGTGTGCTCAGGGACACACACGGGCCGTGGGTCAGTGACACTCGGTCCAAAGCAAAGGATTCCAACAGCCGGGAATCCTGCCCTGTTCCTGGCAGTGCTCAAGGCCAGGTTGGACACAGGGGCTTGGAGCAACCTGCTCTAGTGGAAGGTGTCCCTGCCCCGGGCAGGGGTTGGAGCTGGAGGAGCTTTAAGGTCCCTTCACCCCAGACCAGGCTGGGATTATTTACTGGTCTTTGTTTTACTCTTGCAGCACTGGGATGTCTTCAAGTACGTGACTGAGGTCTTCATCTTGGTACCTGCATTGCTGGGCCTGAAGGGGAACTTGGAGATGACTCTGGCCTCTCGCCTGTCCACAGCTGTGAGTATCCAGGGAGCTGAGGGAAGGGGGGAGCTGAGGGAAGAGGGAGCTGAGGGAAGGAGGAGCAGGACACCCGGCTGGGAAGGGCTGTGTGTGTGTGGTGCCTGGGCAGACACAAATCTGTTGGTGACTGCAGAGTTCAGCGTGCTGGGAAGGTGTCTTCATTCCACTGCACTGATCGGATTTGAAGGTTTAATAGTCCTTAAGCATTGCTGACAGTTCCCTTCCTTGTCCTGGCTGCTCGTGGGCCTGGAGGCACAGTGTGTGAGCTGGCTGTGGCTGTTTGAGCTCTTCCAAACTGGCTCGGACCCAGGTTTCTTCATGAGGAAGCTGGGTGCAGGCGTGTCGTTGAGCAGGCTGCAGCCAGCCAGGTTCAGGAGGGCTGGGGGAGCCTGGGGAGGATTGTGCAGCCAAGGCTAAAGCAGAGGGCACCTTGCAGTGAGAGCAAGCAGGGGGATTGGCAGCCTCTTGAAGTTGATGGAGAGCATGGCTGGGCATTCCTCTTGCTAGAATTCAGTCTGACTCCTGGGAAACAGTGAGCTCCCTGTGAGAGAAGGGGGCAGGCTCTGTTAGCTCCTCGGAGTTCTGGGTTAGTCCAGCTGAAAATGAATTGCTTTGTGTTTAAAGGCTTCTGTAACACAGCAGCGTGTCTCTGGAGCTGAGCTGAGATTGCCATCCTCTCCTCACAGGGCAATAACACTCCTTCCTTCTGCAAAGCATCTTCTGCTGGAGCATGACAAGTGACTGCCTGATGTCTGTTTCCCATGATGGGAGTAGGTATAGCTTTGAGCCTTACCTCTGCAAGGTGTTAGCTGCGTGCTGCCAAGCTCTGTCTCTCTGCTGTGAGTTGCCCCTGCAGCAAGCAGCCTGGTCTTCACCTTGACACTGCAAAGGAGGTGACGTGCCTTGGCCTGAGAGCACCACGCAGGAAGTGCACTGAGGTGTAGGGATGGAGACCTGTCTGCCTGGGTGGCAGCAGCAAGCAGAGCTAGCAGAGACTTTGGCTTAGCTTAGTTTAGCTCAGCATAGCATGGTCCCTCCCTCTCAGCCTCCCCCTTGCTGGCTGCTGCAGGACAGGGCACAGGAGAGTGTTGTAAAAGGTCTCTGTGTATCTGCTCTCCTGGGTCCCCTCTTGTTCTTCCATCTTGAGCAATGGGGAGATCCCAGCTGTGACTCTTTGCTCCTCAGTAGCTTCTTGTTGGCCTCTTCTCGAGGAGCATTCCAGGATGGCAGCAGAGCCAACGATTTGGGCTGTTCATCCAGCTCTGACACCGGTCCCTCTGTGTACCCGGTAGGATGCTGCTCATCTCCACTGAACAGTGGCATGTGAGCACCATGTTCTGTAGAGCCTGGGACAGTCCCCGCAGCCCTGGGCAGCAGGGGTGCAAACAGCATTTCCCTTGGCTTGCCCAGCGAGGGGGCCACCTCCTGGGGTTCAGCCCTCGCTCTGCGTCCCCCGCAGGAGCAGGGTGCTGAGCTGGGCCGTGGCCGCGGCCCCTTGGTGCTGGCCCCCTCTCCCCAGGTGCTGCTGGGCAGGACAGAGCTGCCCCAGCCCCGCCGTGCTCCGGTGCCAGGGATGGAGCCTGAGCTTTGTTTGCTCCTTCGTCCTGGGAAACAGCCCCCTTTGTTTGATTCACTCTCTATTGTTCGGGATCCTGCTGTCCCAGACACAGGCTGTGCTCCCTCACGGCCAGCTCGCTTCTGCTGAG